GATAGAAATTTGAGATATGACAGAATGTTATGTACCAAAAAACGAGCTATTCAATTGAAACAACAACGTATTCAGAAGATTTCGTGCGGTCAGCTCTGTCGTTGATGCCATCACCTAAAATGGATTCAATGTCAGCGAAACGAACCTGGTATTAGTCAATATAACCAAAATACGAAGATTGGAGAGATACAATGAATTCGCTCATAACTAAAGATAATCTAGTCCACTTTAGTGATGCATAAAATCAGATTTACAGAATTGAAATGCTGAAAAAAAAAAGCCGAAGGAACATAAGCAAGATATGAATGAGCACAGTGAATACCTGTTGAATGTCAGTAAGTATGCTGATGACGACTGTGCGATCGTGTGTTTCGGCTGCATTTGCGATTCGAGTCTTTAATTTTTCACATTCACCGAAATCATTCCAACTTTTCATTTCCGTTTTCAAACAACTGAATTTCATATGTCGCTTACAATTAGCATTGAATTCACATTATTGTTTTATTCTGAATTTATTCACTTTTGCTCTATGCATGTCATTGTATATGTGATCAGGGAAGAACAAATGCAGTAACGCATATAATCTGATAGGATTATCCCAGCAAATAGAAATGAAACACATACGATAAGTTTCAATAGGTTATTTTAAGTTCTTGTAGCAATGGATGGAAAAGGCGGGGAGAGCTCAAAATATATAACGATTAGATACTGCTCACAGAAAGGCTTGATCAACTGGATCTTTGGAATTGACTTTCAACCTACTAAATCAGAAGATTCACTGACTATTTTACATCTCACCACAAATCTACGATTACCTTCATAAAACTCTAATCAGATACAATTCAAAACACTGTCTAGCTTGTAACTGAACCTAATATTACTTTTATGGAGCTTATTGCAGTCGATAACCATTCTTATCGTTGCTATCTCATTCTCTGCACATTGTGTCACTGTGAATCGATTGATCGCGGAATTAAATATGTATATTAAGAAGAGAAACAATTGCTCTTATAATCATCACCATTGCCGAAGTGATAAACAAGAGGGTGATATAATACTTCGCAGATTTTATTCAAAATTTATTTCACAATTTTCACACAGCTCATAAATTAAACTTCACATATACAATACGTACGTATTCTGGCAGTTTGGCTTTTTTCTTTAAATCGCAAAACAACGAACAAAACAGGAAAGTTTATACAATTCATTGCCAAATGAAATTTATGCCAATGAAACAAAAACTTCGAATAACTTAAACTGAACAGTCAGCAGTTATAACAACAAAAACGAATGAATGAGCAAAACTTATTGATAGTTTCAAGTAAAAATACACCAGCGCGAATCAAATATGCGAGAAATATTCAACACAAAACTGCTCATATTACAGATAAATCCCCACACAAATCATCCGACTGCATCTGAACATATTTCCTGCAATTAACCTATTATTAGGGCCCACAAATAAACTACGAACAAGTCAATAAGATCACAAAACAAGAACGTTAAATTCACTACATATGTCAAACATTGCCAGCTCCTTAGTAACTAATCTAACGCTAGGGAAGCGTGTAACTACATCAATCAATGTTTTATACTGAATCTGACATTCGGACAGAAATTTCATGCAAAACTTTTAGTATTGAAGAGCACTGTGATAGCACTGAGCGATTTATGGGATTTAGTGCATGTCCTATGAATGCTATGAATGCATTTGTCTTGTCCTCAAAATGCTATAAGAATTTGCAAGAGCTATTTACGCTTACGATATTAATTAAATAAACAGGAGAATGAAAATTTAGGTATTCGAGAGATGTGTTCACATTGAAATGTGCCGCAGAAAATTGCAAATCATGATTTTAAGTTACTCATTATCACATGCTAAGTTACGTGCTTTCATAATTCGTGATGAACTGATTCTGTGCGAGCTGATCGATATTTGAGACAACATTCGTCCACAGTTATGAGTTCAACCATTCTAATTGTAAGATGGATGCAATTGAACAGCGAGCGATCTGAGTTTGCTTCTGAACGAACCTAATCAAGAGTCGTGTTTCCTTTTTCGATGCTTATGTGAAGAATGCGCTCGAGTTTCATTCTTTTGACCGTCCTCATTGATACAATTACTGCTACTATTCAATTCATTCACTTCGGCTAATCTCAGCAACATTTTTGCTTCAATCTGAAAAGAATTTTCAGCATATTTGTTTCAATAAGTTGAAAACACACGTAACTGAAACCACCACTGCTGAATAATGAAATTCAGATGATATATTGAGTGAAGTTTTGAAAATGCCAAAAATTGATTACGTGATACTGTTTTCAAAAAAAAACATCAATCGCAAACCCGTTCACGAAGTCTCCTTTCTTGCTCCTGTAGTAATGTTTGGCGCAGTTTCGCTTCAAGCTTGACCTGGTCACCACCATCAGCACCGTTCTCTTGAGTGATCGTCATTTCTTTTGATTTTTCTGGTTTTGCCTTTTCTTTGACTTGGTTTCCACTTTTCTCCGAATCTACTTTAGTTTTCGAGTGTCTGATCGTTCTTTCGTCTTGCTCTGGCTTAAAACCACAACGGATTCAAAACGAATTATTGAACAATATCATTATGTGATATCAACTTGACGTAATCTGTACAACCAATAATTCAAATAACAAGAATTAAAAAAATTCCGCACTTTGAGACGACTATTTGATTCTTCAGTCTTTTGCAGTCGTCGTCCATGTTGCCGTGTCGAATCGTCTTCTTTTTCAACATTGTTTTTAGCCAATTTTTCTGCTGCACGCCTTCAAATCAGTATCCTCTTATAAAACGATCGCTAGTTCATTCACAATTCAGTATTATAATCGATCACAACACTCCGATAAAATGCTTCATGTTTCGCTTAAAATTCATTCACGAATACACACAAAATAAATCAATTGACAACACCTCTTCGATTCAGTCGTATTTTTCACGCGTAGTTCGTTGTTCATTATTCGTTGCCTTTCCTCTAATCTCATTTCAATTGTTTTCGCAGACAAATGTTTTGTTCTATCGAAATCCACCTGTTAAGCGCCAAGCATCGATATTTACTATGATCACCATCAAGCACTTGCATGAACGCTCCATCATATAATATTGTAATTATAACATGAATGAAAACATTCAACAAGTTTTATCCATAAACACCCTCATTCCTCTCATTTTAAATTTATTTTTTCCAAAACAATACATTCTTTCGATCTCGCAATATTCTCACGGCAAGATAGCCACTAAATAAGCGAGTTCGCTTCACTAACTACCGAATAAAAAATCAAAAAGTTGATACAAATGAAACTGAATTGCTTCATTTGAAACAATCGAGTCAATTGTATAGATTTATGACTGTATATTAAAAAGCTTTAGGGTGCAATCTGAATTACTTACGATTAAATTTACAATATTCATTAATAACTTGAATATTGCTCTGCAAATGAGATTCTATTCTTAAACCAGCTATGCGGTTGAATAGAAAAGAATCATGGATTCAGAAAACGAGTTTTCAGAATATTCGATTCTATGTTACCTTAATCGATGCTTCACACAATCGTCCATCAGGCATTTTCTTCACTAGATTCATATTTCGTAACGCGTTCATCGCACGCATAAACGAAATATACTCCATAAACTGTACGTACGCTTCGAAGTAGATCTCCTGCAGATGCTCAAATTCAACTCGACCATTCGGTATACTGACATCTTTTGAAATTGTTTATTCACTATTTCCAATATCAAATTCCATATCAATTAGTTCCATGCGATGGTTTTTTTTTTGAATTTCATCTCTCATATAAATTAGTTCCATGATTTAGTTGATTTCACTGATCATTTCATTGATCTTCTTTAAATTCATATTCCTCATTATGCGTTTGAATTGATTATGGAATGATTCAAATAGCGTATGGTTCATACGATCCAGTACTGACCTGTCCAAACGAGAAGCCGCTCACTTGAATACCGGAGATGCTTGATGGCATCTGTTTTCGATATGGATCACATGACGGGATATCAACACAACGTACTCGACCGAACTGCTCAAAGGTCTCTTTCAGTAACTTTTCACTTGGTAATATACTATCTTTCTTGCTGGTGTCCTTAAATCACGAAGACAACTTGGATAAAGCCAATAAAACTTGATTACTATTGAAGTACCACAGAATATTTTTCGTGGGAATGAACAACACCTTGTCCAAAGTCTTCAATGTTTTCGATGCCTTATTATTCGATAAGACGGGAAATTTCATGCACATTAACTGTTGATTCTCTTGAATGTCGTACTATCATGAGCCTTATCCATTCATATTAGCTAGTCATATCAACCAATTCGTCTCCTTCGCTCTCCTCTGTTCATTACTACACAGCTCAGAAATTTATGGTGATTATGATGACCTTAAACCAGTTTGTCGGAATTTTCGCTAAATAAATCGTGTCCGGTCTTTCGCCCGCTTTCAGTTCGTTCATTCCTTTCGCGGTGCGGAAGAACTCGTCCCAGTCGTGACGTGTCGGGAAAGTGGATTTCGCTTCAGACGCACGAACCTTCAACGACTCGAAAAAGCCAACTACTTTCAGAGAGTAGCCTTCTAGCGCTTTGATTACCTGCAATTTTTTGCTTTCACATCACTATTATTACTATGACTTGTTATTACTGTATGATTATCACTGTCGTTGTTAATGTTCAAATTATGATATGAAATGTTGAATTGCAAGTTCTGATGATCTTTTCATGATCATCTTCATGATGATCATCTTTTCATGGCATTTCCATGATCTTATTTCAAGAAATATTATCAAAACAATGCATTGAATGAAATATCAACTTTATGAAGCATTTTCCGATTCGGTAATTCTGCTTCAAATCGAACCATTTCCATGGTGCTCAACGTCACACGAATCGACGATAACTGCAATAATAACCATTGAATTCGGATTGCCCATTGAACTAGCTCATGAACTTATTGCTGGTATTACTGTTTGTTTGCTTGTTAATAATTCTCGTTTTTTGCTCATATGATCACTGACCATATTAAAGAAATCAAAACTGATCTTGAAAGGCGTATGTTTCCAACGGAATGCGTGCTTTCACGTAATGTAGCATTTAAGCATTCGATATACATATATTTACGTATGTGTGTGTGATTACCTGAACAGGTACAATAGCTTTTTTGATTTTTTCCATTAGGTCCCAATTCGATATGGACTGGCCGGGCTGCTTAAGAGGAGGTAGTGTCAACGAGATATTCAAACGTGCACATGGCCTTATGTATAGTCCAAGTGGCTCATAGAATGGTTCCAAATCGTTTTCAGCAGATTCATTCATGATATCCTTGGTCGGTCGTTGGTTTGCACGAAGTTGTTGACGATAAGCGCTTCAGATGATTTCGCGGTTGATTTCATCTATCTGATCATGGGGGCACTCGGAATTGTCACGGAATGTTCACACACAGATGTAGATTCGATGACCTCAATAAAACGACGGCAGTAATGGAACAGTCCAAATAAATGTTGATCGATATTATGATAACGATTTTATCACTGTTAGTGATAACGACAATGGTGGTAAACAAGACACGGTTATCACGGCAACAACCGCCTAACTCGAATGATCAGTATTAACTATCAAGAATCTCACGTTGTAATATGCCAGTATCACAGCA